CTTCCTGCACTGGAGCTGCATACGAGGAGATCCTGCACCTCCTATCGTATGTCTCATACCATGAGCTGAATGTTCATAGTGCAAGATTACATTGAATTTCTCATCATACCACCATCATAGAGCCTTGCAAAAACAGGGCTACAGTGACCGAGCAGTTCTGTAAAGATGACCAACTGAACCTGAAAATACTCAAAGTGGCACTTAAGCAATTCTGTTTTGTAGTTTCATAAAGTTACGGGATTAAAAGAAGAACTCTAGTAAATGTCAAATTCCAAAATACTGGCTCCTACAAATGTCTGTTTCTGTCACAGTTTATAAAACAGCATTGTGTTAAAAAAAAAAAAAAAAGGAAAAAAAAAAGGGCAGGTTCCAACCCAGGAGGATCAAGTGACTTTCACGGTATGCTACGCAATAGATTTTGTAGCATACTGTGCTTGTAAATTGGCTTTCAGATGTATAATTGTCAGAGTGTCCCTTTAATTCCCAAATGCACCCACAGCAACAGCCTCCAAAAATAGATTTCCAATAGCCAAACTATATGTCAGTACTTTTCACACCCACTAAGTCCACTAAAGTGTCGAGCAGGACATCCTTCCTCTCCTTCTGCAGCACTTTAAACATCTGACAAAGGTTTCAAATATTTGAACAAGGCGAGGAACATTCAATCAAACATAAGCCAGGCACTTTGCACGATGACATCACCAGCAGCGCGGCGTAAATCAAAACTCCTTTATTCGTTTCATAAGAGCTAAAGTTGAATTCATCCACAAGTATTCAGGGCAGGTTTGCACTTTGTTTGACATTTACACACACACACACACACACACACACTCGTGCATCTGGACATACGTTAAAGTTGTTTATCTCAGAGCGGTTTATGAGGTGCTGTTTCTCTCCAAATAGTACATCTGTGTTCAAATAAATGTAAAATACCTCCATTTCTCTTCAGTCCATGTCTCTCTGTTCATGTGCTCTTTGGTCTTCTCTCCAAGTTCCTAGAAGTGTGTGAGTGTAAATTAGATGTTTCTGGTTCACAGGATGGCAGCTTATAAAAACATCTACAGAGACAGTTTATGCTTCTTTGTCTGTTTCTCACTATTATCCTGACCCGCTCTTCTCTAATTGAGTCCGATATTTACACTGAGACAAACAGATTATATATTTTTCCATCCGACCCTTTCAGTGTGGGACCACCCCGGAGACAGCTTTAAATAAACTTTATTGAAATCCCACTTGAACGAAACAATCCATTCCAGCCTCGCTTTTGTTCTGTTGCCACAAAGACAGCCAGCTCTATCTATCTATCTATCTATCTATCTATCTATCTATCTATCTATCTATCTATCTATCTATCTATCTATCTATCTATCTATCTATCTATCTTTCTTGTTTTTTGTTGTTGTTTTTGTTGGAATATCATATATGTATGTATATACGCTTTTGAAACATTACTGTTTTTTTAGCTAACCTGTGTAAAACTGTCCCTGTCTAGCGGAAGTGAAGCATATGCAGTGACAAAACCTCAACACAGCCGATCAGCTCAACACCTTGGACATGTGTGTGTCTCGGCTGTCCACTTCTGTTTGCTTCATCAAAACTCACTTTAAGACAACGTCAACAGCGTCTGTGTTCCATGCTTTTAGGTCGTCAGCCATTTATTTCTGTTCTTCTGCTTTTCTTCCATCATTTCAAACTCACTATTTCAAACACTTAAAGAGAGAATGAGAAGGAAAAGGATGCAGGAGACAAATAAAAGGAAGAGAAGACATTTTTTAAATGTGACACTGGAGCGATGAGGAGGAGGAGGAGGTCCGGCTACATAACTGTTCCCTCTGCAGGAGGAATCCTCCCACCCAGAGGGTCACATCCCAGCTCTCCTCTCACTGACTTCTTACTACAGAGGAAGGAGAGGACACAAGGATGAAGAGGAGATAACAGTAGGAGAGCTAATGTTATTTAGAAACTAAATAATCTACATATCAAAACACCAAGAAGGCTACAGTACGAGGAATTTTCTTTACTCTGCTGCTGTCACCAGGTATGTTCAGGAAACAGATTTTGTCATCATTGTTTGACCTTTGTTGTCTTCTGCTGATCTAATGATTTGCATTTTAGCTCATTATCTAAAAGGAGTTCAGAAGAGGCCACAGTTGTTAATAGAGCAACCGTCTGTAAACAGTATTCTACAAAATGAAAGGACAGATTCTAGTTTTTTTCCCCCCTTTCACTCACTATTTAATTCACGTCTATATTACATGCATCTTATTGTTTTCTGGGGTACATGTGAAAACAGAAACTTTCATTCTTTTAAGATATTTTCTGTTACTGTCTGAAACTGTTGGTTCTAATTGATGAAGGTCTTTTAATCTGGGCAACAGTCAGCATGAATGCGTACATCCAAAAATCTTTTTGCAGGTATACTGGATGGCAATAATCTGCACAAAAAGATGCATAAACACCCGCAGACATCTGTGTCATTCCTCTTTTATTGCACATAAATAGGACAATGTACAATGACATCAAAATTTAAGAACGGAGAGCCACTCGCAGACATTTTTATGTCTTTTGATCCAGGCCTTCTGCCATGTTTTATCCAGCTGTCGTATGATGATGAAGAGTGGAAAGACCTTCCTCAGCAGGACGTGTTAACAGATGGGAACTCATCCGTCTCTGGTATTTATAAGAAAAAGGTGCACTTGTGGCCAAAACCAGAAGACGATCTGACAAGTAATGCTTTTAACAATTATCTGATTGAGGAAAAATCCACGTAGTTTGAGTGAAAAACAAACTAAAATCGTTCCCATTTCTACCCGGGGATTTTTTAAAAGAGTTCACTCAGGTGTCAAGCTTGTAAAAATGTCATTCAGATACATGGTTTTCCTCATTTAAATGTCTATGAAATTCCTTAGAATAAATGTCAGGTATGAATTGTACAATATGGCTTTGCATTATTACTTTAGATTTAGTAGAACATGTATCTATCCTGTGTGTACTTTTAACACTTAAAGCCCCTTATAACTTATGTTTAAACATATTTACGACAAATTTAAGTTCAACTTCAGCAGAATTATTTGTAGGAAGAAGATGATTGGAGGAAACAAATATTTTTTTCAGGGCTTTTCGCTCTTAAGCCAACAAGAAGTCCTGAAGGAGCTCTGGATGCAATCACATCAGCTAGCTTACTCAGTTTGCATGTCAACAGACTCATCTCTGTAGCAACTGAGCAAACTTTAACCCCCACTAAAAGTTGAAAGTTCTGGGAAAAGCTTGTGCATGTATCCCTAAGTTGGACCACTTTGATCATTGCTTTTAAAAACGGACGTAACGAATACACCAGTGAATTGACACCTACTTTAATTTTCAGCCTCTTAGAAGTGAACTAAGTCAGCACCTTGAGGGTTTTAAAGCTTCTCTTCCTTCAAACAGGATGTGTCGCATTCATCATCACAACTGTGCGACTCGGTCAAGTCGAGCGTACATCTTGTGTTCAGCACAACATGTGTCAGCGGTGTGAGCAGCACAATGTCACACGGCTCATGTTAACACTGCAGCCTTTTGTTTAAAGCAACACGCGAGGTCAGCTACTTAACTGTGCTGAGAGAGTCACATCCTTTAAGAGAGCATATGAAGATGGATTCAGTCATTTCTACAGCACAAGAGGATGATGTTTACACGAGAAGGATTTTTAAAGTCTAGCTCTCTCTCTCCCTCTGGATTTACGTCTGCTGATGTTGATCACTTTTCATCCCCCGAGGTCACTTCTGTCTTTTCGTGGAGTGCCGAATTGTTTTAAGCCAATTGGAGCGCATCCCATCAATTTAGACTGGAGCTGCATGAGTCTGTTTACAATACAGTATCCAAGGCCGACTCCAGAGTAAAAGGTTCTGTCTCCAGACCAACACTGTGGGAGACCCTGTAATGAGTTCAAATTCCTGCTGGGAGTGTGTACTACACAAGCGTGAATGTTACGGTACAGTTAGAGTGAAAATGGTGAAAAAAAAAGGTGGACAGCAACTGCGCTGTACTAGCAAGCAACACAACCAAACCAAGTTCAGACAACAGGCAAGCAAGTTGCGGTAACACTCCAGTACATGAGAAACTGGCGTGAAAAGCAAATAGACAAAGGAACTAAGAGAAAAAGCAGGATTCAAAAAACTGAAAGCTCAAACCAGAATCAGAAAGGGAGCACAACCAGGACATGAGGTCGACAAACGGACAAATTGGCAAAAACAAGAAGAGGGAATTTAGACGCAGAACTACCTGGGAAAACAAGACACGGGTTAAACTAATGAGGGTGATTGAAAAAGGAGGGAAAACAGACAAAGGCAGGAAGCAAAAGTGACACACAAGGAAAGGGGATTTACAAAATAAAACAGGAAGTAAAACTTACCAGAACCAGACCATGACACAAATGACCCAAAATCATTCAGAAATTCATAATTACATCAAAGAATTTCAACTAAGCAAACAAAACACCAAATTCCCTTGTAGGCAGATTATGTACTTGCTTAATTATTTCTTACTAAAAACGGTAACAGTTTCACAAGATCAGTAGCTGTCAGCCACGCTAGGGCGCCGATGGAGCAGATCGGGTTAATGACCTTGCTCAAGAGCCCAACAGTGGCTTCCTTCAGTCGCCCAACTGTTGAGCCCTCACTACCCAAAATGGCTCCTGTTCAACAAGGATGGGATTTGAACCCATGCATGCAGGCACAATGGATGAGCAGTCCATCACCTTAACTATTCAGTCATATGTATACACACATAAATGGTCAATCTACTCCTTTTTTTCTCCAATAGCTCGAGTAGCATCTACCCAGTCAGAAAGTTTTCCATGTATTTACCCAAGTAATGAACTGTCTACATTGAAACGTAATTGACTAAACGATACAATGTCCATGAATAACTGGACCCCACCCTCTAAGAGCCAAAACGTTATTAACATATTTACTTTTCCTTACAACGTCCCTACTCTGTCAGTCCTTCATCTTTTCCAACCAATGGAGAACCTTCTCAGGAACATCAGCTCTACCTCCACCACCGAGTCCCCGCTGCCTCTTTTCACCGCGAACCCGACTAACTGCAGCGGCTGGGACCAGAGTTGGGGGGCGCCATACCTGCACAGGTTGGCCCACCTGGATGTGCAGCTGTACCAAGACTTCTACGGTGTCTGGATCGCTCTGATGGTAAGACAAAACATTTTAAGTGTGCAAAGTTCAGGAATTGCTAAAAATTGTGGCAACAAATATCATGGCTTTACATGTATTCACTAATTTTTTGTAAGTTAAAGCGAGAATAAGATAAAAGCAAACTATATTTCCTCAAGTATTAGTATTATTCCTCAAACATCCCTCCCTGCTGCAGGTGTGTAACTGCTTGATGCTGGTGGTCGGTGTGGTCCTCAACAGCCTGGCTCTTTATGTTTTCTGCGGGGCCTCCACCCACTCCTCAGCCTCAGTGGTTTACACCATAAACCTGGCCGTAGCCGACCTGCTGGTGGCGCTGTCGCTGCCTGCTCGCATCGCGCTCTACCACAGCGGGGGGAGCTGCGTGGCCTGCTCCTACGTCCACACCTTCAGCTACTTCGTCAACATGTACTGCAGCATCCTGTTTCTGACCAGGTGAGTGGATCGCAGCATCACTCGGCATCTCATTGAATTAACTCCATCAACAAGTGTTTTTCCTCCTCTCAGTATCTGCATAGATCGGTACCTGGCCGTCGTCCACGCATCCAGCACTCTCCATCGATGGAGGACTACCGGAGCAGCCAAGTGTGTCAGCGCCACAGTGTGGTTCGTCGCAGTTGTGGTCACCTACTCTTTTCAGGTGAAGACGCACACTACAAAGACACCACAAATGTTTTATAATAATCAAAATAAACCTAAAAAAAAACTGAAATGAATGTTTCCTTACAAGGCCTACCTGACCCAACCTGTGATTATTTCAGGAAGAGGCCATTCCTAGCTCACCTGTACAACATCAACTTGTTCGGCCTACAGACTGTTCACAGATAAACACCCACTCTATAGTTGCCCCTCATCAATATAAGAAGCTGGAACCAGACAACTCAGATGTTTTCTTGCTATAATACTGAAACCTATTGCTTGATTATCAGAATGGACGGGGAATAATTTGACTGCTACAGCTCAAATCTCAGATGACAGGAGAGTAGAACAGAGAAATTCCGACAGCTTGAATGAAATAATGCAAACTGGTGACAGGATCTCTCTCCTCTCTCCTCAGACCACAGCGTTGGAGTTCAGCACCTCCTGCATGCTCATCCCAGCCCTCTTCTACCTCACCATCCTGGAGTTTCTCCTCCCTCTGCTCGCCGTGGTGGGCTTCACCCTGCGCGTCACCTGCTTCCTGTCCTCCAGCCACGGACCGATTCCCCAGCAGAGCAGGGCGAGGAGGACTCGGGCCATCAGGCTTCTGGCCACCGTCCTGGTGGTCTTTACCATTTGCTTCACGCCCTTCCACATCCGCCAGGTGCTGGTTTACTTCCGGATCAGAGTCCGAGGGGAAGGGATAGCGCGGGGGGCGGGGCACGTGCTGGCCTATCACATCACGGTGACGCTGAGCAGCCTGAACAGCTGCCTGGATCCGGTGGTTTACTGCTTTGTGACGGACAGCTTCAAGAGAATGTGGAGGACGAGGAGGAGCGGAGGGAGGGAGGTGGACGGAGAGGCGGGGCGGATGAGTGGGGCAGACGGGGACAGGATTTCGGTGAATAAATGTTCGGGTACAGCGCTGGCGATAGCTCACAGCGTGGTAACGCTCACCCTCACCAGCACCCCCCTATCTGCAGCCAACACAGACCAGTCTGCTTAGACAGCTGGCCACCCCTCCACCACCAACAATGGAACAATCCGGAGACACACCTGGAAGGAAAGACTCACCCAGAGTGTCGGAGAAACATGGCAAAAAACTATTAAAAGGACATAAAAACAGAAATAGGCATTGCATGAACACTTTTAAACAGGTCTTCAGCAGCTCCACTGTCTGTTTATTGTTATGTGTCCTCATTTTCTTCACTTTTTTCCTCTTGACGACTTCTGGATCTTTACTCATGTGAGTCAAGCAGTGACCTCGGCCAACACTGAAATACCAAAAACTGCAGTTCCTTAAATGGCCACTTGAGGCTGCTCCAAAACAAGTAAATCCCCATAGAGCCTAATGTTAAATGCTCAACTTCACAGCAGAAATAAACAAGATTACAGTCTGGTGTGAACACAGTTTTGGTCTCTATGGCTAATTTCCTCGTTCATGATAACTGTACAGCAGATTATTGTTTTTCTAACTCACTCGTTTCAATTGTAATAAGGTCTAAATAATGAAGGTCGCGTCCATAGTTCAGAGGTATTTGCATGACTCCAGGCACACTCCACTTCTTTGCTCATTTTGGGATTATCTGGGAGTTTTAAGGAGTCTGTCACTGCCAAGATGGCGACGCCAGGAGCCACCACACTGAGCCTTAATGCTGTTCTGGAGGAAACCTATTGGTGACGGCACGGAGGATTCGGCCATCTTTATACACAGTCCTACAACAAAGGAATGTTTCTGATTAACTTACACTGCAGGACAAATCTTGTGCTTCATTAAATTGTGACAGTGAAAACAGAAAAACTTTGAAAAGTATCGAAAGTTCATAATTACAGTGAGTCGGGTTATTATTAAATTCTGTTGATATTTAACGTCTCAGTTCTGAGATCGTCTCCACTTTAAGAAAACACCAAGCTCAGTATAACAGGAAGTGATGAGAATAACTTCCAACCTCAGAGGAACTGACAGCTTCAGCACATCAGCATCCGTTTAAGTAAGTAGTGACTACTCCAGAGACCCCCAAAGGTCCTCAGCAGTCAAGTGAAATGGCTATTTTTACAACTTTAGGCTTTTGAAAGTAAGATCAAAACACAACATTTCACACTATTTATATGCAAATAGCCTGTAAATACATATTTATGCATCTATTCAAGTGTTATGAGAGTCACCGGTGTGTCTCAGAAACCATTTAGTTGAAGCTGTCGGGTGATATTTAGAAGAACGAAAAGTGCAGAATTTAAAGAACTACACTTGAGTGGTAAAAAGTTAAAGTGGAGCTGCTTGATTAAAAAACAAAAACAAATAAAAGATAATGCAAACTACAAAAAATAATATCTATTAATCTGATTTACACAAATGTTAAATCTGATTATTCTAAACACAAATCAACCGATGTTCTTCCAAGCATTTGCTGATTTATTTCATTCAATGTATTTCCACTGAGTTCCTGTTGGTATATTCCCTGTGATTGTGACCTACTTGATGATGTTCTGAAAGCAAAGTTCTTTCTGACAGTGGTATTTATTGTAATTGTATAAGTGTGTCTTTCTTCTCTCACCCCTGTTGGTTATAAATAAAATAAACTGAATGCTTGTCATAATGAGACTCCCAGATGTAGACATTTGATGCTGCTGCGTTCAGTGACATAGTCTATTAGGTAAACTGTGCAGGATTGGCTATAAAAAACATATTTAAGCCACTGAGGAACCAGCCAGGAGCAGATCTACAGAGTAGTTCCACTAGAGGACAGTGTCTGACTACAGGAGGAAACAGACAGTGATGCTGCAACACATCAAATATGTGTCTGATCGTTTACCTTCCAGGCAACAGGAGCTGCTGCTCATATTTGCTGGATATGTGAACTGTGTGTTATGCTCTAAAGCAGCATGTAAATAGTTTTAATCCATGATGACTTCTGGGTTGCAAGGTGGTGCAGTGGCTAGCATTGTTGCCTCGCAGCTAGAAGGTCACCAGTTCGCATCCTGGTGAGGACACCCGGGATCTTTCTGCATGGAGTCTCCATGTTCTCCCTGTGCAGCGTGGGTTCTCTCTGGGTTCTCCAGCTTCCTCCCACAGTCCAGAAATATGTTGAGGTTAATTGGTGATTCTAAATTGTCCGTAGGTGTGAATGTGAGTGTGCTTGGTTGTCTGTCTCTAAGTGTAGCCCTGTGATAGACTGGTGACCTGTCCAGACTCCAGCCCCCCCGCGATCCTAGTGAGGATTAAGCGGTGTATAGATGATGGTTTGATGGATGATGACTTACTCATAAAGAAAACTGCTGATCCACCAACAAATTATCATGATAGATATTTGACAGAAACATCAGCATTTTATCCCTAGGAACTGATCACTTTAAATCCAAATACTAAGCCTACTTTTGTCACAGCATTTGTAGATTTTATCCACTTTTATGTATTTTAGAATAAATTCTTACTACTACATATATTTTCCTACCAACTTAAAAAAGAAAACACATGAATAAAAACTGTCTTCTGCTTAATTAATTCTCAGAATGGGACATTTTTAAAGAAACGTCTCCCTCAGAATTGGATTAAAAGTATAAATGGATATATGTGTCAAAACAATTTAGTTTTTTTTAATTGATAACATATAAGAGGAGGGCTGTGCAGGTTTACTTAGCAGGTTCAGGTCAGCCCTAGCAGGAGTCTGAGGCATTAAGTCAAGTGTTATTCCCCTTTAATTCTTACGAGCAGCAGGTCATTACAGTTCACTTAACATAATGTCCCAGAGCTGTAAGTTGACACCTCAGTATAGTACATCACACACACACACACACACACACACACACAGACACACACAGACACACACACACACATATACTTACCGTCAGCTGAACATAATGTCACATGATGCGTCTGGGTTGGAAACACACACACACACACCAGTATCAGGTTCCGTCTCTGGTTTCTCTGCATGTATAAAGAGTCGAAGCGGTGACCCCTGTGTTTGCGAAGAGAAATCTGACTCTGCAAGAACAAACTTTTCTCATTTTCCTCTTCTGTCTCGGCGGTCTAAACCACACGGCATCATGGGAAACCTGTTGGCGGCTTTGAGGATGCTGAGAACAGACTTTATTCGTTTTTTTCGTCAGTGAAAACAAACAAAAAACGTCCTGAAAGTGCAGGACAGCAAGTTACTTCACCAGACAGTCACATGAACTCTCCAAACATACAGTTTTTAAGAGTTTATACTACATGTAGAGGGTCACGGGGGGCTGGAGTCTATCCCAGCTGATTCGGGTTGAGGGCGGGGGCCCCCTGGACAAGTCACCAGTCTATCACAGGGCTACACTTAGAGACAGACAACCAAGCACACTCACATTCACACCTACGGACAATTTAGAATCACCAATTAACCTCAACATGTTTTTGGACAGTGGGAGGAAGCTGGAGAACCCGGAGAGAACCCACGCTGCACGGGGAGAACATGGAGACTCCACACAGAAAGATCCAGGGCATCCTAACCGGGACGTGAACCGGGGATCTTCTAGCCACTTTGCAGGTCCACGTGTGGACATGTGCAATGCAATTAAGCTCACAGTAAACTGATCATTTCTTTTTCAAATTTCCTGAGAGAAGACCAACCGGTCACATTGACTGTACTTTTCTGTCATGCACAAGTTACTGTCTTTGTTTTTTCAATAAATATGAATAACCAGAAAAAAAATCTTGTCTAGATGTGTTATTTAAAATGTGGACGTGGTATCCTGGTGATTTGTTTGCTTTGAGTCAAGTGGAGTTTGATCACATCTCGAGGTTGTGACGGCCACAGGCCTTGTGTCAGTGTGTTTTCCTGCACTCCTGCCTCTGATTTCTTTTTCCAGTCTTCATGTCCTGCTCCTCCCACTTCATTAAAGGATTGGCTTCACCTGCTTGGTGCCTTTAAAAGCTGGGTGAGTCCAAGATGGCTCTCTCTTCCTCCCTCCTGGAAGACTGGAGCCTTTCAGGTCTCCCTTGCTTTGGTTTAATGCTGAGTTTAGCCTTGGTTTGTGGACTTTATCATTAGTTTTCCTTTGTTGAGTGTTTCCAATAAATTACTCATTTATTTAAAAAGCTGTTCCTGTGTTGACCTCCTTTCTTTGTTGTGCTCTTCAATGAGCTGGGCATAACAAGGTAAACACACTTTAAATCTTTCTAAAAGAACTGATGGATACTCATCTTTCTACCCACCAGTTAAATGCAAGACCTCTTGTTTGATCATCTCGCATATAAGAGCTGATAATTTACAGAAAGACTGCAACTCCGAGGAATAATGAAGACAGAGAACTCCAACTCCGGTCCTCATGAGCTACTGTCCTGCAGGTTTTAGACGTACTGCAACACACTTGACTCAAATTAATGGATCTCCAACAGCTTGTTATCAAGTTCTACACGTCTGTTCATGATCCATTAATTGAGTCAGGTGTGTTGCAGTGCGTCTAAAACCTGCAGGACAGTAGCTCACGAGGACCAGAGTTGGAGATCCCTGAATTAAGATCATGCGCTTATGATGAGCTTGTAAAAACTGGACACAGAAAACATTCATGTGTCACGATGAAACCATCGCTTTGACCGTTATGAACAGCAAAGTAAAGACGGTTAGTGATATTTTTCTGTTTTACTCAACAGAACCTGAAAATGAAGAGACTAGAGGCGTAATATACAGAATGACCGCTATTTTGTGTAATATATCGTTAACATTCTTACTTTTGTTACCCCTTAGTGTTACCCTCAGTTGATTTATTGCTCATATGTGGATAAAATCATTGTCATAAAGGTGTCATCAGGGTAAGTCATCATTTTTTTCTGTATTTTTCTCACTATGACTGCCTTCCAAGTTGGTATTCTGAATGATTGACTTATTTCTTGCATGATGTGTCTTCTAGTAAATTAAAAAAAACAGCGTATGGAGCAAGGTACAAACTTTACCCAGAGACACCCTTCTGCTCTCAGACAAAGCGATGTAGCACAGAGTTTGAACATATCACCTCCAGCTGAGTTTTCAGTGTGTGTCCTGACTTCTGATTCGTCTCATTTTGATCCATATTTTACACTTTCTGAACAAAAAGGTGAAATAATGAAAGAAGTCGTGGTTGGTTTACTTCTGAACAGATTTTAAAGGTGCGTTCCATACAGTGTTCATCCAGAGTCCTACATATGAAGGCTCAAGCATATTTACATAACATAGAGATATATACAGACTTTATATAGAAAACAAAACTACTAACAAAAATAATCATCTTTTTTATAGCAGCAAAAAAGAAGAAACTAAAAGAGAAATATGTATATTTACATCTTTTTTGTTTTTTTTTTTCCAAATAACAAGGCATATTATATATAGTACACTGCGTATATTTGCTTTCCCATTCTTTAAGTATTCTTCTTGATTTAATCTCTATGAAAATCAAAGTATATAGGCATCTCTCTCTCTCTCTCTCTCTCCTCCGCCGTGAACACACAGTTGACAGGAGGCAGAGCCACACACACTCAGAGCTGGGGCAGGTTGGACTAACTGCATGGCTGACAGCTGGAAACGTGAAACAGCATCACCTCCACATTCATTCAGTGATCAGGACGGTGGAGCCAAAATGGCCGCCACTGAAAAAGTGCAAAAGGCCCAAACCCCTGTGTGTGGCTCTGCCTAAAAAATTCAAAGAACAAATTCCAAAAAAAAAGACATTTTCTAGTTGAATTAAAAACACCAGAACAGAGACAAGAAGACTCGTAAATAACTTCCAGTATTGCAGCCAGCGATTCCAGAGTTAAGTGTAAACCAGGTGATTGCAAAGAACAGAGAACAAGAACCAAAAAGTGAACACTGAGATGACAGTTTTAACACACTCTTGTCTTTTGCTTTACGGCTGTGAGACGACACACACACTCACAGACACACAGACACACACACACACACGCACGCACACACGCACACACACACACACACACACAGTCCAGTTCACTTCTGTAACATCTCCCGTAACAGCAAATAGAATAGCTTAAATTTAATCTTTTGGAAACTAAGTGAAAAGTGTCTTTTACAAGACAAGAAAGCTCAAAAAAATAAATATCCACAGTTATTTTTTTTTCTTCCTTTTGCAACATACTACTGTTTTTTTCTTGTTTTGTTTTTTTTTTAAACTTATCATGTGCAAGTTCTGTGCAACGTCAGGACCCCCACCCTGGCTTGTCGAACATCAAAATAAAAATGATTTCGACAAATATCAACTCACATTCATTGACTTTTGTTTTGTTTTTTTTAAAGAAGATTTTAAGTCACCAGATGGAATCAAAAGTTAAGAACTCAATCTCCCAGCATGCCGAGCAGGCGGCCGTGCTGTCTGAACATTCCAGAGTCTACGGTAAAAAGGCTTGGGACATTAAGAACAAAAAAAAAAAAAAAGAAGAAGAAGAAGAACCCAGAACTCAAAGACTTTCTCACTGCATTGGAACAGAAACACTCAAGTTGCACTTCAAGTATTTGCGGCCTGGAGTTTCTCGCCTACACTTTGAACGAGGAGCGTCGCTCAGGACGACAACGCGTCTCATCTCTGAATGCGTTTCAACACCTCCCATCGGTGTGGGTGCCGTGTTGAACGGCGACAGGATGAACAGCGTCCGAAGCTTAACTCGTAAATGTGCAAAAATGTAGAAAACTCACATGCTTGTTGAGAGTGTACTGACCCAGACCGAGCACAACGCTTCAGCTTAAAGAGTACATGTTTTTTTGTTTGTTTGTTTTTTTTACACATTTAAGTTTTAAACAAAAAGACACAAACATCCAGCCATGCATTAGAAAACACATCCCTGACCTATAAGGACAATAAAGAAAAGAGCTCGAGTGATTTGTACAGAGTCATACTTTGGTGTCCCACACATGCATATCGCTGTTGTCGCATGCATACCTCCCAAACCCAAAGCTTGTTTTTTTGTGTGTTTTTTTAAATATATATATTTTTTTACTTAAACTGAAGTTGTGTATCCACTTTTTTTATCCAGAATATGTTATTGCCCTCGTGGTTACAGAGACCATTTAAAACTCTGGCTTCTGTACCTCCTTGTCTTCTGTCAGCGTCCCATCCCTGCTTTTATTTGTCCCACAGCCAGAGCAGGATTAACCCAGGAAGCGAAACACTTTCTCTCTGCTCTGTGCTGCTCTGGGACTGACTGAATGTACCTGAAAAGATGGAAGGAATCTAATTTGTTAACAAAAAATAAAAGGGTTAAACTCTGCACCAAACAAGGTGAAAAAAACCATCATCAGTGAGTGAACTCTCCTCTAAAACCTCTGATTAAAAAAAAAAAGCTTCTCCTCAAACTGCTTTGAATAAAAATGTTCGTCTGTCAGTGAGTCATCCCGCCGCAGTTTAAATTTCTCTTCCTTTCAAGTAGCACGTTTCAGCCGATAGAGCTGAAAGGAGAACTGACCCAAATCCACGACCTCTCACCCCGACAGACGCAGGAGAAGAAAAAAAAAAAACCCACTGGTGAAGGATTTCGCCACCTCATACGACCCTGCTCCTCCCACAGTCCCCTCCCCGGCTGATTAACAGGGGGCCGCTATTGCAACTAAAGATCTGATTTGTCAGAAAACAAACTACATCATGTCTCGTCTTTCAAGTTCGTTTTTTTACACATCCAGCATCGTTTGTTAAGGAAACATTCGAAAGATTCATCTAACGTCATCACTGTACACCTAATATCAGTAAGTACTATCCAGAGGTTAGTTTTATACAACCCATACGTGTCCTCTCTGCGTTAATGCTTTCGTGATTATCAGCCTCCCCACCGCGCACTGATGTTAACCGGGTAAAGCTAAACTCAGCGGTTTTACTTCCGCATCACGTTCCTGCTGCTGCTGCCGTTTCTCGCCCTCAGCAGCCGCTTTCAAGTTGGAGATGCAAAAATTGAGAATCAGAAACATCACGCTTCAATTAAACTAAGCTGATCCAGAAATAATGTTAAGTTTTATTTGTGTGGGAAGTCTGATCATTTATTCTTAAGAGCGTAAATTTGTATTGAATTGAATCGTAAAGTTTAAAAATAAATTTGTAGCCAAGCTTTGGATGAGAAGATTGATCCCGCTCCCATTTATGTGTCATGTGAGCTGGCAGCTGGTTAGCTTAGCTTAGCTTAGCTTAGCACAAAGACTGGAAACATAAGAAAAAAAGCTCAAATAGGTTTGTACTCCACCTCCACCTGTGGGCATCTCAATAACTCACTAATTCCCACATTATATGTCATTATATACAAAAATAAAACGAGGTGATGGAACATGTGGACTTGCCATCTCCTTATTTCCAGTTTTTATGCTCAATTAACCACCGCTAGATGCTGCCTTATTTAAAGTGAAAACAGTCCTCCTGTCCTCCTCTGAGCTTGTTCCTCGTCCCTCTCTCTTCTGTTGGACATCCATCCAGACACACAAACATCTAAAATACTCCATTCTGCTTCTCTCTACTGATTGTATTTGGCCCATTAAAGTGGAAAAAAAAGAAAGACAGCAGGACCATAAATCCTCCAGCTGAAGCTCAAACAACAATCCTGCAACTGCGGATTCAAACATCTCAACACAAAAGTTTGCTTTCCTCTCTTCTACCACATGAGCCTCGGAAACATCAAGTTTCCTCAAATTTGTAATATTCTGAGTCTCCATCCCAGACTGTTACTGGTTCTACTGGAGTGTCGGGAAGCTCCGTCCTGCTGGTGTCAATCCAACACCAACGCAGGGAATTTTTACATTTTCTAACTGAACACTGTAACATTTCTTTTTTCTAACAACGGCTCAGCTCTTGTGCAGTCGGTGACAAACGTTGTGCTAACAGCAAGTTTTTTTTTTCAAACGAACAAAAACGCAAAAGCAGAGAGAAAGAGAACGACTCTTCTCTTCTCCTCTGCTGTTTGGTTTGTCTCTCTGCAGCATGTAGGTTAGTCTGATTATTCAACACAAACATCATGGTGGGTGCTCAGTATAGCATGAACAGAATATTTGGGATTGTAATGCCCCGTATACGGCACACATTGCATCTACGCTCTTTCTGATGTGGACTTTCACCCAATAAACATCTGTACTTTCCTGAATATCAATATACAGGCAACATTATTCTCAAGCTCGACATTTCCGAGCCGACCCTCTCAGATATTGTCATCTTTTTCCTGCGACGAAGGCTAAATTAAAGAATTTGGCGCTCCTGCCAAACGAAGGAGGCCAAAAGCAAAACACCTGCAGTCAATTTGGGGCCACTCAATAACTTCCCCCTTGGAACCAGGCTTTCAGGCTCACAGTCTGTTTGTTTTTTTTTCTTTTAGAAATGCCACTTCCAAAAGTCTCAAGAGTCTTAAAGCTACTGTCGCAGAGTGCTGTAAAAGTCCCGCAAAAGCCAAGTGCGTTGTTTTATTTTGGTGAACGCGGCGCCTCCGCCGGAGACGCCAAGTCGGCACACGTCAGTCGGCTTCCGTCAATCACGAAGCGAAGATTCGATCAAGCAGATTCCACGGCGAGGAAGAAACGATTTTCAGCATTTTTCAATGATTGCAGCTTCAAGGACGAATGTTCATCAACAGTGTTCATTATTCAGGTGTTCGTTTGACCCCCCCAGACGAAGAGGTGTGTGCGTGTAAAGGTTTGTATGTATATATATGTGAGTCACCCTGAAGTTTCCTGTCCAGGCGGCTGCTCAGAAGCACCTCCCAGAGGCCCTGAGAGACAGAAACAAGCTCTCTTTAATCAGTCACTCACTCCTGGACGACCCTGACGGATCCATCAAACGTCCGTGAGGGCGAAGTGGAAGGAATTTCGTTGACAGCTGAAAACAGCGCTGGGACCAGAGGGATTTTTGTAGCATAAGTTGGTCTGATGTGGTCCCACAGCAGATAGATTGAGTTGTATTCTTCAGCAAATCACAAGAATCAGAAAAAAAAAAACCTGTTGAAGCCAGGACAGACACCCAGAGAGGACCAAACCGCCTGCCCTCCTTTCTCTTCTTTGTGTCTGGAAACTCCTGCATGACGATGATGGAGGCACATCTTCATGTGTTTTGTTATTTTTTTCCCCCAACAGCAGTGACGTTAAAAGTAAATGTAGTTGTTTCTGCAGCAACGTGTCCGTCAACCCGACGAGCCGATCACAGCGCAGACTCGTTGTCCGTGTGACCAGAAGTGGTGGTTGTGGTCGCCTTGCCCTCCTTGTTGAGTTTCAGGAAGCTCGGTTTCTCTATCACCACGGTAACGGGCCCGTCGCTGCTCTTGGGATTTTCCAGCTTCGTCAAGGCTCGTTTCTCTGAAGCTTTGGCTGATTCTCCGTCCCTGTGAATCAATCACATATCTGTCAGGACTTCCGTTCGGGTCTAAGGCATAGTTCAACATGCAGCTCGCTAGCTAGCTTAGCATGCATAAAGATTAGAAACAGGTGCACTGGTCGACAGAATTTGTTGGAAACACTTGGCAAGAAAGCAAGCACGCCTACTTCCGTTTTTTTTTTTTTTCCTTTGCTGTCAAAGAATGTCTCTCACCCGTTGTTTGGAGTTGGGTAAATGACCAGGAAGCAGGCAGTGAAGAATCCGAGGAGGGAGCCCCCAGAGGCCACCATGGGAATGACACGAACGCTGCCCACCGCTTCCACCACAGCGCCCAGAGCAGAGGCCACCAATATCTGGCTGATGTACACCTGCGAGACCACAATTTCATTAATACAGCGTCGCATAAAAGCCTGTTTGGCAGCGTTTGAGTAGAGTGTGTCAAGACCAACCTGACAGGATAAGATGGCACAGTCTATCCCGAAGCCTCTGCGGGAGTTTCCAGGACTGTGCTGGATGTACTGCAGAAGACAAAGAGACACGGTTACAGGTCTACTACTAGTGAAGACAGAAAGCAACATTTTAAAAGAATATTTTTGTAAAGTTACAGGATTTAAAAAAAGCAAAAAACAAGAACAGATCATTTCCATTAACACTCTAAAGCTTCAAGCACTTTCTGGGCGTTTTTGAAGCACCCACAGGTTTTACCAGTACTACAAAAAACAGTGACTGCACTTACTATATATATGTTTTCCAACTTACATGTGTAGTCTGCTTCCATACCTCTCTCCTACCTGCTCCCTGAATATTTTTTGTCACTAATGGCTACATGCTAACTCCCAGGAGCACATGTTTTTTGTCTTTCTACACTCCAATAAATGTGAATGCTTAGTTTTTGTGTGTTTTCAATTGACATGCGTGGTATGAAATGATTTAGATGAAATGTCACGACTTCAAGCATGGTTTTGGTGAAGATTTCTGACAGACATACGTTATAGATGATCAATCAGAAAGATTCTCTTTGGTTGTACAGTTTCCTGCTCTGAAAAAACGGTGTCTTTTGGCATTTCTTTAAAGACAACATGCCTTTTAAAGCCACTGGCAGGTTTTGGGGTTTGGAGGGTTAAATTGTGGCTGAACCTGAAGTTAGCATAACGACTGACAACTTGAGAAGCTGCAGAAGTAACTATATAAGGCTGCAAAAAATAATTTAAAAAAAGAAAAATGTAACTAGTAAGTTACTGTTGTTCTAGGATTCTTCCAACATCTTTTAGTTTACAGCAACGGCTTCTCAAACTGGAGTAAACAGTGCAACCATTGGGACTACTTTTTGCGGCGGACTAATACACATATGGTGCTCTAGTGAGTCAAGGTTCAAGATACTATATTGTCATTATACACGCGTGTACAACAAAATTAAGGTCCACAGTCAGGACCTGGACTCACAAAAAAAGAGAATAAATAGAACGATAACATAAAACAATGTACATCATTGACACAACAACATCCAGTCACTGATTCACACAACACTAAAACATCACACACTCACATCAGTACCAAATGTACCCAGGCCAATACAATAGGACAGTTAAATGTTCAAATAGGGGCGTAAGTGTAATTGACTCCAAACAAACTACAGTGCAAGTGTCAGTCAGTGCGATACTTTGCCTCGCTGATATGTTTTAAATAGTTTTGGGACAACAGTGGAGCTCTACAGCACATAGGAAGAAAATGCAGCACGTAAAGCTGCAAAGGAAATGCATCTTAGAGGCTTTCAAATGACTCATCTTTTAATCACTTCTTTCATTTCTGAAACACTGCTGTAACCTCAAAGTACTTTATTTTTGTATTCATCTACCAGAATTAATTTCTTCCAGCGTGATATAAAATGTTGCTTCCACATTAAGAGAAAGGATTGTCAAGTTGAGTAAATCCGTACCTCTTTCATTTCGTGATATTGTCCCAGCAGAGCATAAGGACAGTAGGAGATACTCATGGAGATGATGCCCATGCTGCTGATCATCACCATGGCAACATACACATTAGGGAAGATTGCCATGATAGCAGTTCCTATGTAGGGAAAAAAAGAAGCGTTTCAGAGTTACTTGTCATCCACTTTATTCAGCTTCATTCTGTGTTTCTTACTCCAGTTCATACCTATGGAGAATCCAAGCGTCCCCAAGATGTAGATGACTTTGATGCTCAGGTCAAAGTTGTCCAGATACTTTTGGAGAACAGCTGGAAAGAGAACAGGAGTAGATTGTTTACTCCAGAGTTTTATGCACTTGCTTCCAGAAAGTGCACTTTACAGCCAGAGAGTGTTTTAATTTACAGAATGATGTGAGCATGTGTGTCTGTGTGCGATTACCCGAGCACGTCGCAGCAGTCATGGCGTAGATAACCAGGCCCCAGCATCCCATTTGCACTCCTCTGTGGTAATTTTCCAGTAAGGTGGAGTTAGCAGGAGCCTGTGCGACAAAGAAATGGGCTTAGTTTGAAAAAATAAGCTGTCGATTAATTCGGAGAGAGTTTAGTTCTGGCTGAACTCACTGTAGATAGCTTCGACAACCTTAACTTTCTGTAGTTTTTTAGGTTTGTTTTTTGCATCTGTGCCATTTTTACTCACTGTGGACTCTTGTTTCAGTGCAATATAAAGTCCTGAACCTCTATGAAATCAACACAACCATTGCTAGAAGTAGAAAGAACTCAAAACTGTATTCTGTGCAGTATAAATTGATTTTTTTTCAATTATATGTTTTCTAAAAATTTAAAAAACTGTAATCAATATGTTAAACATTCTCCCAAGTGCCTACGTTTTTTTGTGTGTTTTTTTAAAGCAACATCTACAAACTAGGCATTTCGACACTACTCAGCACATCAACTTAAGATATTTCCCCCAACAACTCACAGTTTCAGTCAGTTTTAAAGATAGCATGCCTATTAAAACTGCCAGCGGGTTTTGGTATTCAGAGGGAATTTAACCAGTAGTCGTGCTACTAGAGTAAATGAATGTATTGAAGCTAAATCTGTCTGTCTGTGTGTTCAGCAGCTTATTCTCGTACCGTAGGATCTCCATGGTAGATGACTTGTCCCATGAAGTCGGTGAAGAAGACGGCCTCGGCGATGATGGAGAACCAGGTGAGCAGGTGGCAGGCGCACAGTCGCAGCAGCTCTGGAGGCATCTTCAGCATGGAGAGCCACAGCAGCCGGACGGTGGTCTCAACCTGCAGGGAGCAGAAGACGATCACTAAACATCCAACAGCAAAAAGAGACACTCAACATATAAAAGAAATGAGAGGACTAGCTTGTTGCTATGGTTACAGTGGAAAAGAAACCTGCTGCTTGTTGTTTCTTGGCAAACATGTGGAAAATGAAAACAGCATAATTTGCTTTTTAAACTTCTCACCTCGCCCTCCTCGCTCTCCGTGTCTCCGCTGGATGAGTTGGTGTTTCCGCTGCGGTGCCTGTTCCTCTGTCGGCTCCTCCTCCGGTGTCTGGCCTCCACCTCGTACAGGTCGTTCATGCTGCGAGACGGCTTGATGAGGAACGCGGCGTTGGCCCGGCGGTAGCGGTAGCGGTGGCTTCCCACGCGGCCGTAGTAGGAGAAAGTGCAGGACGGCTGGCGGTAGAAGGTGTGGCGGTGGCGCGACTGTCGCATGGGAGCTCCAGTACTGGCAGCTGGAAGGAGAGAGCGTTTAATAAGTCATCTCATGGGTTTATCTCTCGTTCCTTGTTGGACATTTGTATAGATGCTAGCAGGTGGATTTTGTTTTCCGTGGACAGCACTAATTTGGGTATCTGTTTCCTCCAGTTTCCAGTTTTTCTGCTGCTGACTGTGGCAGTATATTCAACAGATATGAGGGTGCCTTCAATCTTGCAGTATCTCATCTAACAAAAACTCTCAAATAGTGCAGCTATTAATTCAACATCAAAAGTATTGCTGCAATCAGTCACAGAAGAGCAATTTTAATAACTAAAAGCATTCTGTAAGTTAAACATTTAAAATGTATTTGATTTGAGGAGCAGATTACACCACAGAGATACCGACCTTTGACCATTCCAGCTCGGTGTGCTTGTCCTTTAGAGCTCAACCTGTTGCCGCCAATCCTGTCGGCGTTAGTTACGCTGGCTAGCAGCCGCCCATTCAGTGTCCGCTGCTCATTGAGCTGATTGTTCAGCAGCGCCTCCTGCCCGTCGTCGTTCTCCATTTCTTGCAAGAAAGCCGAGAGGCGGGAAATTTTGGGAGCGTTCGTTTGGTGGTTGCTGTTCTGGGGGCGGAGCAGGTCCTGACTCCCCGTGCTGCTGCTGCGTCTGATATTGGCGAGCCGGAGAGGCGGAGAGCTGTGATTGTGGTTGAAGAAGGAAGCCGCTGTGGGAGGCGAGCCGTGGTAGGGCGAGAGGCGGTCGGCGAAGATGGAGGGCTCGATGTGGCACAAGAACAACGCATCGTGGTCCAGGTGGTCGAGAGTCGCGTCCGCCATGGCGAGAACGCTGTCGCTTTTGCCTGGAGGCGTGAGGAATTCAAGAAAATATCAACAAATGTTCCATCATGACTGGAAAGAAACTGAGAATTGGGTGAAAATAATGCCCCAATTTGCTTGAAGTTGAGGGTAAAACATATAATTTAGGCAGGAATGTGTGAACTTACTTCTCACGAGCTCCACCTCTAGGAAGTCCATGTCCATGTCTCCACGCTCTGACTGGTCGTCCTCATAGGGGTCATAGAGGTCGTAGCTCTCTATCGTATCATCCTCTCCGATCATTTCCAGCTTGGGGGCGAGAAGTCCAGTCCTGCCATTGGCGGATGGTTGCAAGTGGTTGGGTCCTGGACTCTCCTAGTGGGAGAAAGGTGAAAGAAGCATGTTCAGCGATTGAGTTTCTTATATTTGTTGTTAAATAAAGTTTTGTTTTGCAGCTCAGTACCTGGTCAAGCCTGTCGTGTTGCGGCGAGTACTGCTGCTCTTCGATGCTGAAGAGATGCAACACCACGGACACGGAGAAGAGGATGGCGGCAAAGAAGAACAGGATCTGCTCCTGGGACTTGAAGGCCGCTCCGAGGAAAGTGTGTGTCCAGTCTAAACCTCCGAGAGCGTAGCCAACGGCGCCGCCAAGACCTGCATGTGGAGAAGGTGTTTCTTTCCATCAAGCTCTGCAATCTAGATTTCTTAAAATTTTGCTTTCATTCCAGCTTTACTGACATGATAACGGATTTTATTATGTCTTTTGTGCCAGACGTCAGCCGTACCTGCAGAGGCGGCGTGGATGTTGAGCGCCATGTCTTGTTCTTCTGTATCTGCCACGTCTAGCAAGTACGCTCTGATTGGTCCCTCCGTGGCATCCGCACAAAAGTCCAGCACCACCACTCCCAGCACAGTAAGAACAATTCCTATTGGTTGGCTCCCCTGCTCGTCACCCAGCGACAGACCTGACGGGGAAACACAGGGATGGAAATTATTAAAATCAAACCAACAGAAGAGGATGCACAAACAAAAACTCAGTTGAATGCATTTCAAAAGCTTTATTCATAACCAGTAACCCTCGGAGCCCCAAAACCCACCAGTGGCTTTGAAAGCCATGTTATCTTTGAAAAAAATCATTTGTCAGACCCAGAAGCTGTGTAAACAAAGAGAAACATTCCATGTGAGATGGTCACTGGACCTTTTCATCTGTGACCGTCAGTTCCCATGGGAAAGCAAATCAAGTCTGTGTTCAAAATCAGAATATTTATCTGAATATTTTTAATTCTGCTCATCTCATTTAAAAAAAAAAAGACAAAAAATAAACCGTTGGTAGTAACTGGATTCTGTAAAAATAAAAAAATTCTGCACTCCTTGACGCAAACAAGACATCACTGGTGACTGAGTGGCAATCAACAGTCATGTGACAAAAATTAAGGGACTTTTAACTAAACGGGGCAGAACTGCAGGCTGTGTTTACACAGAACAGAAATGTAAGCGATTCAATATTTGTTTTAATGACAACTGTAGGCATTTGGGAAAAACACAGAACAACACGAGTCGAATCCAGGTTCGTCCAATTTTTGTCAACTTTCTTTTTTTAATTTTAACTTTCGATTATTTATGGCATTAGAACTTTGCTATACTGCACAGGAGACACGTTTGAGCTCTCTCTGCTTCTAGTCATTTTTGTGCTGTTTCCAAAGAGGCACAGGATTTTACATTACAGCAAAAAAAAGAGACTACAGTGTGTAAAGTAGCAGAAAACGCACAGAAGCTGCCAGGCAGGGGTTTACGGGGTCGAACATTTTAAACACATATGTAAATAAAACACAGTGGACAAAGTAATACGATAAATAGTTTAAAAACCACAAAAAAATTGCTGTTGTTGTCAGTTGCTGCTCAGAGATAGACAGAATGGTAGTACTATTATTATTGTTATAACTATTAAATTGTATATACACTTACAACAGCAGAATGTATATTTTTTGTGTTATGTTTTATTTTTTTCTTTTATTTTCATATTAATACCTTATATATATATTTTTTTAATATATTATATATTTTTACTTCCTACTTCTTTAAGATTTTTGATTGGGAGCATCTGCAACTGAAAGGACTTTCCCCGAGGGGATCAACAACGTATTTCTGATTCTGATTCTGAAGTAGAACGAGATGCGATGAATGCAAGATTTATTTTCCAACGTTTATCTTCAAATTTAAAAATATAAAAAAAAAATTAAAAAGATACATATTAATCAATAAATTAAATATTAACTACACTGAATAATAAAAGACAAAAATATTTTCCCTGTCTCTCTTTCACACACACGCACTCAACATTCAACATCTGGAGTTGTTACGCGTTGGTGATCAATAGCTGATTAGCGACGCACAACATCTGAGCGACACACAGACCTGTGACAAACAGGTCACTGCACGTTCCCCATACCACTTTGCCTGTTGTTCGTGACCTTGTGTGTCTCATTAGATTTGTGACCCGGTCTTTCCCCTCAAGCCGTTCAGTGTACAATCGTATAAATGTATGTGAACAATACAGAGCTGAAGTGCATCTGTCCTATAGAGAGTGTGTGTGTGTTCGTGCAGGCAAAATGACGCAGCGTGACTCCACAAACTCACATCCATTCACGTCAGGGAAATAAAAATATTCATAGAAAGAACAGCGCGAGTGTGTACATGTGTATGTGTGTGTGCATGTGTGTGCGGGACAATGGAGCCACTAGTACTCACTAGCCAGGCACCCAGACAGGAAGTGAACTGTGATTGGTGGAAAGGGGGAAGCAAACAGGAAGCATTTCCCTGTGAACTGCCTGCTCCTGTGTTCCCATGTCAACACACACACACGCAAACGCACACAGACACACACACACACACACACTCGTATGCGGGTTACTACGGCGTTCCCATGTGTTGCTCACACACATTCACGTACGTTTACAGCCGTGGAAACGTCCACGTTCTCCCTTTCATTCACTCATTTCTCTCAGACAGATAAAGCTCGCTGGTTTTTCCCATGTCGACCCTGTTGGCAAGGTGCTTACACACACTCACAGACACACACACACACACACACACACACACACACACACACGGCGGTGCCCTACATCGACCTGAGTGCCAACCCCTGTGCAGAAGAATGGAGGCAGAACAGAACAGAAGTGAGTAGAACTGAACAGAATCTGCTGACAGAAATCAGCTCACACGGCTCTTGTTCTCGTTATTTATAACTCTTTTCACGTCACCTTGTTATATTTAGAGACATTCAAAGGCCACTGTTGTTGTCCATTTGTCACACATTTGGTCCACATTCGAATATGGAACAAGTATAACTCTATTAAATTTCAGATGTGACTGAGCAGAGATGTCCTTAAATTAAATAAAAATCCCAGTAGCAACAACAGACAAATACTATGACGTCAAGTGAATAAATTACTTACAACAAAATGTCAAGAGGACAAAAACCTTCTAAGACCAACTCGTTCTAAGTATAATTTTTCTGCAGAGTTTAAAAAAGCTGCTTTAATTTGATTTCATTCTTGTCTCTGGTAATCGTCTTCCTGGAACATTATTGTACTTTCCATGTTGTTTCTGCTATTTTAGGAAAAGACTGCTCATTGTCAGATATATTTATAATCCAAAATTAATCTGAACAACAATTCCAGGAGTTGTACCAGCCACTCAGATTGTTGACCCCTTCAATTTAGGCCATCTTCAGATGAGTTCGATTTGCAACGCCACAAACATTGAGAGGCAAAAACAAGACGGGAAATTTTCTTCAACTTCTGCCAACAACACTGCAAAAAGAGATAAACACAGAGAATGTGTTCAAGCTACGTAAAAAAAAAATAGCTTGATTTTGGGATAAATTATGTTAAATGTTACTTTTATAAGTCACATATTTGCACTTGCAGATGTGCGTTTGATTTTAAAACTCAGATTTTGGCTAGCTTATCCAGTTTTCCAAAAAAATAAAAAAATCCAGATTCCCCTTGAATGAAACAAATCTGCACGCAAGGCCTTTTTACTGTCTGAGATTCTTTCCTGAAGGCTGCCGAGATCGAACAAACCTCCGGCTATGTTGCACTGAGCCTCATTTAACGTCCTGAAACAGTCAGTTGTTAGTAATTTCGTCACTTGCCTAATAAATTTTGTTCTAATCATTTATCAAAGTGCTACGCTTGAGGTGGTTTGAATCCTCAAAAACAAGACGGTTCACAAACAAACCAAGCAACGTGATGGACTTCTGGCACAATTTTCTGACGATCTCTAGTCTAAAAAAAAAATCTTTTACCAATAATAAAGGCAGTGTTTGGTGGTGAAAATGATTTGCTGCAGCCCAGTTTGTTTGTTAATGATCACTTTCTGTTTTATAATCAAACTTGAAATGAACTTGAAATTTATTTCATTTAAACTTTGCATTTGATATCTGTTATCAAATCTGATATAATTTGACCAACAAGACCTTCAAAAGCGACAGTATTTCTGATCAAAACATGGCATCTGACGGTTACATGTCAGAGCTTCACTACATGGAGGTTTTCTCTTGTTTTTATAGCTGCTCACAGCCTTGTCCTATTGATCCAACACTGCAGGCTTAACATTACACAAACACATAAAGTCAGAGTATATCGTCTATACTACATGTGTGCTGCGGCTGCATTACAACCGGAACTCAGCTCACATTGTTGGCCTGGAGATCAATTTGGATGTCGCATGATTGACAGCCGATCAATTTGTTTGATTAGAATGCATGAGTAAGACCTTGCAATGACATCGGGGTGATGTAATAAGCCAAGGGTCGCAGTGTGAGTGACATCGGCCTCTCCGTAAGGTCGCGACATCCATTTACAGCGAGCGATGCCCCGCTGACACCGGGAGGAAACTGTTCTGTGGTGCATGTTGGGTAGTGACGGCGCTCGGGTTGTATTACTCTCAGGTAGTTTGGACAACAACATTCATCAGAAGGCACACAGTAAAATGTAGTTTCACACTGTCAGGTCATAAGTTTCTCTTTCCATTTACCAGCAGATTACTTTTATGTGACGTTTTTGCTGCAGTTGCTTTTGGTTTCAGTTCACTGACTCGTCATTTGTCTAAATCAGCTGTTCGCTTGATTAATGTACTGCATGCAGCTCCAGAACTGTGTCGTAAATTAGATGGTTGTCAGTGTGCAGCAAATAGAAACAGTATTAGATCCAAAATCTTCTTTATGAATGAGGTGCAATACGTTACTAATAATTTGTGCACATGAGAAGTAAAACAGTCTAATTCTTTCTTGCATGCATCAGCTTCACAATGAAACCCAAAACGACATGCACTCACCTATCAGAGATCCGTTCAGAAACAGTGCCACTCCGATCAGCGTTCCTATGCAGAGAGCCAGGATGAAGGGTCTCCTCCTGCCCCATCGCAGAGTGCAGCGGTCGCTGGCCGAGCCGATCAGAGGGGTAAACATGAGGCCAAGGACCGGACTGAGGAACCACGTCAGGCTGTAGTACTGCTCTGGAAGACCTGCACAGGACAGACAGACGGACAGACAGATGAGTTACAGGCCAGGATACAGACAGGTGGAACTCACACTGCAACCGAAACTTAGCAAATAAGCAACAGAGATGTGGCAGTGAAGTTTTCCCATCATCCACCAGGGGGTGCAAAAAGCATCTTGACTACAGCAGGGAGGGTGATAAGTTTTTAATTGGTTACTTGGAAATAAACTAAATGTTTTTGAGTTTAAATCAGCCTTCCTGACAAAAACAAGCATCAGAGAAACTACAATTCAGATACTTTGCTTTGTACTACTTCACATAGAGAAAATAAATAAGCTGCTGGTACTAGAAAGGACGACACTAACGGGGAATAAAGCTTTATTTATAAGATCAGATACCCCTGGGGAAATTATTCATACTTTAAAATACAAAAGTCAAAGCCTGCATTCAACAGTGAAAACCAATAAAACCAACGAAGAGTACTGTGTGAGTGTTACACACTGAAGCAGAATATTACAGTCCACGTGTACTCTGTGAAGTTGCATAAACACAACGTTAGCAGCTGTTTTTATATTTTCAATCAACCAAAGTCACCAAGTTCCTAATAAAACTGCCTCATGTCAAGTTTAGTCATCTGGTTAAGACACAAAACTCTTTTCACCACCATCAAACTTATGCTATAAATAAATATTAATAACACTGTGCTGCTGAGTTGCTATGTGTGACACAACAGTTGCTGCAGTAACAGGTGAAGAACACAGCAACGTAAATTAGCCGTTGTGCAATGTGTTGTCACTCCTGTTGCCTGAGAGTTGACCCAAGGCCGACAGTTTCAACACCTTCTGTTGAAGCGCGCACAAAGGTAAAGGAGGAAAAAGCCGCGGCAGCCGTACCCGACAGGCGGGATTTATCTGAGGTCTATGGAGCGTCTGTGAGAGCGTTCGCCCTGGATTATCGCACAAAGGACGGCAACATCGACTCCCGTGTACTGCTTAATGCAGAGAAAATGAGCAGAAAATGAGTGTGGAGCTTTAGTGATCAGGTTTCTTCGGCTTTTGTGAGGAACAGACCCAATAGAAATGGTTTTGCCTGTCACAAACACTAATTATGAGCCTATAAATGGATGAAACTAATATTTGTTTCCAAAAGCACCATTTTCAGGTCATTTCTGACGACTAGCGCTTACAACAAATGTAGAGCTGAACCTTGTAAACAGTGACTGAAAGCAATACTTGACCTTTTCCTCCTCAATATCCAATTCCTGAATTAAATGGATTGGACCTCACCTCGACTATTATGTGCATGCGACCTTGCTACTCAGCACGTATTAAATTATTCTTGTGCCTCTACTTTCCATCACCGGAAACCAGGATTTCAAACACACCTGCTGCATGACAGGATCTCAAATTAGGATGGAAATATAGCTTTGGCTGGACGGAAAACTAACGGAAACATACACATGCTTTCAATACCTCTGAATAGTATCAGACAACACTTAGGAAACCTATCAAAGAAACCTGTCACCAACAAAACGTTCCTAACGCATATAATCTGGTGCAGCATTTATATTTGACGCTGGTTCACTAACAGGACATTTTACTCAATGGTTTCCTTGCCCATTTTCACCTTATCATATATATTGTATAACCATCCTTTTGACCTTTGAGTTTAACTTGAGGTTCAATAAACAAATAAACACACAATATTTCTGCAAGATTTACTTTTCAAAAAATAAAAATCATTTCTGAATCAGAATGAGGCCTGAACAGACAGAAGGTGACTAATATGAAATCCTTTGAGATGACAGCTGTTTGCATGAATTCCTCCAAAACAAGACACATTTCTCTCTTGGAATTCAAAATCTTCTCTTTACAATTGATGACAAAATTCAGAAATTAACCTACTGAACCACTAAAACCCATGGAAATCTAAACTACAACATCTATCAAAGGCTATCATCTATATACCGCTTAATCCTCACTAGGGTCATGGGGGGCTGGAGTTTATCCCAGCTGACTCAGGGTGAAGGCAGGGGACACCTGGACAGGTCACCAGTCTATCACAGGGCTACACTTAGAGACAGACAACCAAGCACACTCACATTCACACCTACGGACAATTTAGAATCACCAATTAGCCTCAACATGTTTCTGGACCTTGTGGGAGGAAGCCGGAGAACCCACACTGCACGGGGAGAACATGCAAACTCCACGCAGAAAGATCCTGGATGTCCTCACCGGGATGGGAACCAGCAACCTTCTTGCTGCGAGGCAATGGTGCTAACCACCGATCCACCTTGCAACCCGTAAAAAGATTATGTTATTTAAACCTTTGCATAAACTGGATTCTCCAACAAAGTATGCACTCCTGCATAGAAGCTCTTAATGACTCAGCTGCAGCGAGTAAAGCTGTGAGCAAGAAACACCCATAAACTGCTTGAGGTTCAGAGGATTAACGCACAACTGATCTTAGATGAGGCCGGATTTGATCAGAACATTGTTCAATATTTACATGTTGTTACATCTGCTTAGGGTTCAGTGCCGGCTGTGATTTCAAGGATTTATACCCGTTTTCACTGCCAGTGGCAAAAAGTAAAATCTCATGACTTTTTTTTTTTTTTTTTTTTTTTTTAATGGAATCAGTTGGGGCTGGGGAATGGAGGTGGCAGCTGCTGATGACCAGTCACGATGGGGCACTTTTTTTTTTTTTTTTTTTTTTTTTTACAGCTGCGAGTCATCCCCATAGCTCAACATGTCACCTCTAAGAAAAACAGTTTGCTTAATCTTTGCTTGTGCAAACTTTGGGAGTTTGTTTTATCTCCAAGCTGTTGTCAGTGACGAACATCTCACATGCTGCCTCTGCTCATTTAGCCCTTCTTCCTTGAGGGCAGGTGTCCAGCAGGGTTTGCCTATGACTGTTAGGAAACATGAAGCTCGCTGCGTTTGTTCCTTAAACCTTCACAAATCTGGAAGTCAGAGCTTGCAGTTCGGAAGACTGCACTCGATTCATGGCAGCTGCTGAAAGTCTTACATTTATAAACTTGTCTAGACCAACTTTTCTCACATCAGCAACACTGGAGCAGCCAATATGGATGTTAGCAAGATGGAATGGTTGGTCTTTGAATGCATTCAGCCTTTTCTTGTCCCGTAAATGATCACATTCACAATGACACATTCCTCACACTTAAAATAATAATGGTGCCATATCTGCACAAAAGCATCAGTGCAACAAATTAATTAAAACCAATGAAAATCAGTTTATCCCTGAGTCATCGCACAGCCGTTTAAGTACGTCAAATACATAATAATCCGACTACGTTCTTGGACAGAGAGCCATGACTTCACTGAACTGATGAGAGGAGGAAGAGGAAGAGGAAGAGGAGGAGGAGGAGACGGTCATCCTGCTAAGTGAAGTCAGCTGAATCGCAAGTAATTAAATCAGAACTTTATCATTGTCTCACTGACAAACTGTCGCTTAATGGAGCTCACTGGAAATGAATTAAATGCCATTTGGCCGCCGTGCTGTTCCTCCCATAGAGACGAGAGGCAGACGCTGAAAACATTCACTCATGACGTCATTCTTAATAATGTTTAAAAGATATTTCAGCCGAAGTTGGCTCAAATAATCGTATTAGCTTGAAGTAAAGTCGGTGGAGAACTGTGTGCTCAATTCAAACAACCTTCTGAAACCGACCATTTCGAATGCACACCCACTTCAATGAACTGCATGTTCCCGACTCCTTTATGGCAGCAAATGAAGCTAAAGGCCGATGTCACAGGAGACCACCACAGACATGCAGGCTAATACGCAAAAAACGGTGTAGCTGTATAAAAATACTTCACAATGTCTTTCATCAGAGCTGCCGTTCCAATCAAAACCAGGCTCACGGCTCCAAAAAGTCTTTTTTTAAAAGGAGAGTTCCCAGCATTGTCCCTTTACATGAGTTCAGGTGAAGTCATTCTTGTTATCTTTTATTAAATCTGAAGCAATCAAAGGAACCAGAGAAGAAACGGGAGAGATGTGGAAATGCTGCAGGTCAATACAAAGAAGGTGATATTTTATTTCTTAGTGAACAAAGAGACGGAAGGATGCGAGAAAGCCGGAGAGTGAAAACGAGCTGATGGAGGGAACATTAGGATCCTCTAAATTTAAAATGCACTTTCACATGTCTCAAACGGACCCCTTTAATGAGACAAACGTCAATAACTGAGTGCCATTATGTTCTATTATCAGGAGAAAACGTCCCTTCCTCCTGCACAGCTTCTCAACGCACAGCGACGGTTTCGAGACTCTGATTAGCTTTTGGCTAAATTGTCCAAAGACATAAAGTTCCTTTGCTTGTTAAATTGAAGAAAAGAAACTAGCGTGACTCAACAAAGGCTGTGGCTTGCTGCTGATTTTCTGGAAATCTGGAGGTTTCTGCAGGAGGGAGGAGTTGTTTGTTTGCAAAACACTGCTGTCATGTGAAAAAACTGCCAGGACCAATCACGGTAATTTTCATGTTGTCACTGCTGTTGATGAATCGCATGTTTCTCTGCGGCAGGACTGTGGTCTGTGGAATTATCGCAGAGACAGAATGTCAATACGACGACTTCGAGATTAAACTGCGTGCTTTCCCATCCGTCCGATTGAGGTTTGACAGTTCGACCGAGGCGCTCTCTGAAACCACGTCTCATTTAAACACATACCGAACATCACAGTGTGTCTGTGGCATGAATGTAACAGCAGCAGCAGCACATCACGACTTCTGACAGGTACACTCGCTTGTATAGAAGTGATCTTTTTGGCATTTTGTCTATCATCAATGCAATAATCAACAGCAGAGAAAAACAAGAGAGCAAGGAGATTAGATCTGCAGAAAACATCCCTGATGGAGACTGTTTCATGTATGACACATGGTGTGCATTAGGGGAGGGCGCTTATATATGAAGAGTTCATTTGCAAAAACAGATACCTCCATCTTCACAAACCTTCAGAAAACCCACATTTCCATAATCTGCCTGAGCCAATATCAATCAAACCAAA